TATATATCAAAAAGTCACATAAGCCAAAATTTTAAAGAGATGAAATGAAAATAAAAGTTAAGTTCCAGCGTTTCCATACTGCACCCCATGGAACCCCCATCCCACAAGGAAACACTCTGGGGGTCCCTGGGGTTAGGGGTCTCTAAGGACTGGGCAAGAATACAGGACTTAGTAGGGAAGCTGAGGCTGCACAGAACTCTCAGGCACCTGAAACATTCGGCACCAACAGTTCTCTGTTCCCACTTGAATCCCAGCAAAGTCGAAAGAAATCTGGAATCTTTGCTCGCTGCTAACCTTAGCAAAACCAAAAACAAAAAAAGAAAAAAAAACCTTTTCTGAAACAGTGAGGTTATTTTTCTGATATGCCTGTTCTTTGTGGCAAATAACTGTCATGCCAGGGCGTGGCTCCAAACCAGTCACCTGCCCCAATTTAAAAACGCTGCAGCCCAGCACCCGCTCCGACACTCCGGTGTCCCCGTGTCTCCTCCTCCCACTCCCACAGCAGCGTCTTCACACGAGGATGCACAGGAAGGCTGAGGGTCGAGTCGAAAAACAGGCCTGGCTGTAGCAGTCTGTGAGAGGCCTGGGACACCCGTCCAGCTTCTCTTTTCCGTAACACTCCTCCCCTCGTGTCTGAGCAATACACATTTTAAAAAGAATGAAGCCCAGCTAGGAGAATGCAGAAATGTGTGATTTTAGAGAGGGGGAAGAGACGGTCACAGTCATCTCTCCAAATGACATTTTCAAAGGCAAGCCGCCGCCCTGTGCTGGCCCAGGGGTGACTGGCTGCCTTCACGGACGCTTTATGTGAGTCCACGTTCTGCTTGGGATCCACTAAACTTAGACTGCGCTGGGCTCCTTTAAGTTAAAACCAGTGACTGTTCACATGCAAGAGTGTTAGTCATCTTGATGCTTAAAAGGAGGTTTATTACATAAAAGCAGACTAATCCAGATCATCTTAAAAATTTCTAGCGTAATTCCCCAACATTATGAATTCCAAGAAGTAACAATACCAGCCTATCTATCACATTTAAGTTAGATTTAAAGGGTCTGGTCTTCACCCACCAAATAGCAAATTATTCTGGGTAACAAAGAGTGTTTAAATCCAGCAAGTTCTGGGCATTCCACTTTGAGTTTCTTCTTGGAGGCTGCACCCCACCCCCACTAGTCCATCCCACGATGACCCCTCAGGAGTACACATCGGAGACAGAGGTTTGGAAACCCACAGTGCCGAGCGCCCAGCGCACAGCAGACTCGTCTCACCACCGCGCCCCTGCCCCCTGCCCCCTGCCCAACACCCCTCAGGTAAACACCGTCATGAGCCTGTGCTAGTGACTGAGTCCGAGAAACCTGGGGAGGTCAAGATGTCTCAAAGCTACTGAGGCGGGCAGGAGGCTCACACCCAGACGAACTCCAAAGTCCAAGTTCTGGCTCCAGGACCTGCTCTTCTGTGACTGGCTCACGGCTTTTACTCTCAGCTGGCCTGGAACCCTGGACTCGTTTTATGCTGCACCTACCAGGACTCTTTGAAGACACACTCAACTGTTCCAGAACCCTGGCCGTCCCTTATTTCCCCTGCAAAGTCTTTTTTATCACCCGCACAGCTGTTATCTAGGCGACACAGCCCACAGGGGACACAGAGGGCCCAAGGACTCTAAATTTCGAGAGCTGCATAAACAGCACGTTGGTATCAGCAAAACCGAAGGAATTTGATAACTTCAATGCCAATCAGCCACAAAACCGTTGGACAGACTGCCCACTGCTGTGCAAATGAGCCTGCTCAGTTAACCCCCCGCTGCCGCCAACCGAAAGGATTACAACACTCCCAGCCTGGCCAGTTCTCATGCCTCCGAGCGACAAACCCTGAAATGACTTATGCGGATGGCTTATTGAAAGTACGTCTTATTTTTCAGAAGTTGTTACGATAAACACAAGAAGTCATACTTCGGGAAACACTACCTTTACTTCAGAAATCTCTATCAAGATACAAGTCTGTGTGTTTAACCTAAAACAAGAGCCGGGTTTCACAAGCTGCTGTTTAATCAGTAGCCGAGCCCCACCGGCTTCGCCGCTTCCGTGAGGTCCTTTATCTGGCGCTGCTGAAAGCTTCCTCTGTGCTCCGTGACCTAATATGCCACAGAACAATAGACACGGTTTCCTCGTCTAAGCACTGCTGGAGCCGATGAACTTCGGACCGAGAGGGACGCCTTCACGCACGCGAGATCTCCTGTGCGATGTGGGGCCGGAGAGTCTAACAGCAGGCACACACATGCTTTCTGAGAGAGGAGTGATCTGACAACCAGGGCCCGTGGAAAAGAGTGTCTAAACTGCAGCCTTAGTGTGGCGATCTGCCTGCGAGAGAGCAGCGGCTTCCTCCGCACACACTTCCCAGGGAGGGTCAGCCAGAGCTCAGCCCGCGTGACAAGGCCCTCGAGGAGCGGATTCTCAGGAAAGGAGGCTTGCAGGGGGGTGTGAGGGGCTCCCAGGGAGAGGCCCGAAATAAAGTTCAACCAAGAGATGCCTTCTTGCCTCCAATGGGCAAAGACAATCCACACGTTTGCAAAGTTTTATTGTGATTAAATGGGTGAACACTTGTTTTAACTTCTAAATCTAGAAATGATACTGATGACCAAAACAAAAAAAAAACCTTGGATAAATGAATTTCAATTTACATGATACATTTTAGGAAATTGCCTCATTGCTTTCCCCATGCAAATGGGCTGGCAAAGGATAAAAATCCAAATATTTTTTTCCAACCTGTCTTGGATAAGCCATCCTTTCTCCGAAGCGCTATTAACCAACCAGTTTGCACTTGAAGTAGCAAGAATAGGGCCAAGGAGGCAAAGCAACCCTGAGCAACGCTCTGCCCCAATTTGACGACAGCCAGCACTTCCTTCGTGTGGAGGGCCGGCCCCGGATCGCCAGAGGCCTGAACCTGTAACTGCTGTTCTGTCGGCCCCGTATGTTCACAGGGGTTCCTCTTTCTTCACCAAGTAAGAGCTCGCTTACCAGGGTTCGCTCAAGGCTTTCTTCATGTTCCTTGGTCTAGAACCTACCTCTGCCACCAGGATTAACAATCTCCCCTGGATGGAAACACAAACCCCCAAATGTATGCACAACTGTGCATCTTTTCCACAGGATTTAACTCTGTTTGCCTGTCATTCACAAGCCACTTGTCTAACTACACACTTTCCAAGCAACAGAATATGCAGGGGAAATCTGCAAAAAGCCGCTATAAATCACCAAATATTTACTCATGCTTTATTTATTTCAAGATCTGATACTTCCCTTTATGGGCTGATGTTCCCCCCAGTCGTCTCACAGCCCTTTGAACGCTTGGGTCGCCATCCGCACCCCGCTGCGCACGACGGGGGGGGACAAGAAGCATGCCAAGGGGGTTGCAGGAAGGCACACCTCTGCAGGTTCCCACACGGAGTCTTTTTCTAAATACATGGATACTCGGTTGCGTGCAAAGTCATCTGGAAATGCCTTGAATCCCTTCTACTTGTTACCCACTGCCCCACTCCGGGGCGACTTTTCAATTTCCCCACCAGTAACTTGCAGTACCACTGCCTCCACCTTTCTGTATAGTCCTCTGTTCTGTAACTTCCCGGATACTTCCTGCGACTCTTACCTGGGCCGCCCATACACTTCTAGTAATGCTCTTCTTGTCTATGAGATCGGAAAACAGAACGCGCACCTCACAAACATCTGGTCTCAGGCAGTGCCAGAAACTCAGCAACAGAGTACACGGCACGGTGATAAGCAGTCCCCAACCGAAGGGCGCTCAACTACACAACCTGGAGTGCGGCTCCGGAGACAACCGCAAACAGCTGTCACTGTGGATGCGGCTGAAAAACGCGCCTTTGCTGGGACCGCAGCTCCCACACTCTGCACCCGACCGACATCGATCTAAAATAGCCCTTGACTTCCAGAGGACTCACCGTTGCAAGACTTGAGTCACACAACCAAGGGGATCTCAGTCCTGGATTTGGTTACGACTCTGCCTACAGTTCAGCTCTGCCACCGTGGGCAGGTCAGTGGAACCCCACCCCCAGCCCCAGCCTCAGTGTCCTCCAGTAAAAAATAAAGAAATTGGACTAAAGTTTGTTTACGGTCTATTGCAACGCAAAAATTCTATGAAATTTATAAAATCGCGGCCTCTTCATTTCAAAGATAAGCAGTAAACGGTAACAACAAATTAGCCTCGATTTCTTTCCTTTAAATTAAAAAAAAAAAAAATGACCCAACTCGGAATGCTTTCAGGGGTTGGTGTTTTATCCAGGAAAATAAACTGCAAATGAAAACGCCTACCGGTAAAACGGGAAGAATGAAAGAAAAATCACACGGTCTTCGCTAAAATAGAAATCTCAATCCCCTTGGGCCAGTGTGTCAATAGTTACTCAAAGGCTGCTGCTCTCTAATCACTGGCTTCCTAAAATAGGGGTATTTATAGAGTTGTTGCCTTCTCGTCCCCAGAGGTTCAACCCGAATGCGCGGCACAGCGTCCACCACCGATTCGTAACTTCAGAGCAAGTTGCAGAGCCCGAAGGGAACTCCGCAGAGCTCGCCGACCCTTGGCGTTTAAGTGCGATGAGGGAGGAGGAACGGTTCTTAGTGTGGGGCGTGAGGAGCTCACCCGAGGCAGGTGCCATCTGGAAAGGGAAGCAGAACTGCCAGGGAGGGATGTGGGCTGAGGACCTCCAGGCAACAGGTCTGCAGCCAGCACCGCAGTCCGCCCCGGGAGGGGTCGGCCGCCGCCACCCCGCTCGCCGCCCTCCCGGCCCAACCGCATCGCCTCGCCCCCGCTCCGGCCCCGGAGAGGCAGCCCGCCCCTGCGGCAGAAACCTCCCGAGGCGCTCGCTTCCCCGGGCCTCGCGCCCCGCAGGCCCTCCGATTCCCCGGCGCCGAGGCCGGACCCCGCCTGCCGCCGCCTCCCCGGCCACGGCGGTCCGGCAGCCGGGTCCCCGCAGCCCCGTCCGCGCCCTGGGCCCGCTCACCTGCACCTGTTCGCGGAAGTGGCGTGGCCCCGGCACTGCCGGCGGCCAGGACCAGCAACAGCAGCCACGCCGGGGGCCCCGGCATCTCGCCCACGGCGCCGCCCCGGGGCCGGCTCTCGGGGTCGCCTCCCGTCAGTCCGTCTGTCAGTCGCTCCTGCCTCCCGACGCTGCCTCAGCGGCACCCGCGCCGGCTGCTCCTGAGCGCGCGTCGCTTCGGCCAAACCTCAGCCCGGCTCCTGGTCCGCGCCCGCCGCTCCGACCATGGAAACACCATCCTTCCCGCCCGCCCGACCGCGCCGCCCGCGCCGCCGCCGCCGCCGCCGCCGCCTCTCAACGGCAGCAGCCCTGCGGAACCGCGGGCCAGGGCAGCCGCGCTCCTGCCGCCATGATGGGCTGCGTCATGTGACGTAGAGCGGGGGCGGGAGGCCGCGATGGACAGCCCATCTAGCCAATCGTCAGTTCCACAGGCCCGGGAGGCTCCGCCCATTAACCTGGCGGAGGGAGGGTGTCCGCGTGTGCGCCCCCTGCAGACGGAGAAGTGTGTGGGCAGCAGGTGATACCGGCAATTATTGTAAATTTAAAAATTCAGGGAAGTATAAAGAAGACAATAAAAAACATCCAGAATCCATCCTGAATTTTTTGCTCAGTATTTTAAAACATGTTTTGTCCCCTGTCTTTTTTTTTTTTTTTTTTTTTACCATTTTAGGCTCCTGTCCTTAGGCTGACCCACACGTCCTTTCAGCCACCAGGAACTTTGGGTGTTTTATTTCAATTCACCAAGAATGTAATCCTTCTCCCCTCACACCCACTGACTCAGCTCCTGAGCTCAAGCCATTCCCTTTGCCAGCAGTGCCCTTCCTGTCCTGTCCTGGCCACCCGGCACCCTCCCTTGGGTCAGGACGCACCTGAAGGATGACGTCACCTGAGAAGGCCGCTCCCCGAGCGCAGGAGAAATGACTAACATCCCTGAGTGCCCCGGCCCCGCCCTGGACAGGCTGCTATCCCGGACACCACGTTTCATTGTTCCTGCGACTGTCAGCTCCACGAGGACAAGAACTGTGCCCACGTCAGCTGGGGTTCCCCAGGGGCTGGCTCAGGGCGTGGCTCCCAGTCATTCTCTAAAAGAGGGGTGTCTGGTCCTGGCCCTGGGTGCCAGAGGGGAGCAGCTCCCAGGGGCTGCCCTCTCCCCATGGAGAGACAAGGCCCAACCAACAGGGGGAAAGGGCAGAGAAAGCACTTTGCAGGCAGAAAAGACGTTCTGATGAGAGGCCTGGAGGTTGGGAGAAGGTTAGGCTTCTCTGGAAAACACGCGGGAGCCCAGTTTGTGCGTGAGAGGAACTGATTCGAATCGTATCAGATGGGGCTCTGCACTCTGGCCGCAGGAGAGCCTCCCCAGTTCTCCAAACTCCTCAAAGGTCCGTCCTAGACGCTGCCAGCTCCCGGCGGCGCTGACCCCGGCGCTGGGCACACAGACCACACGCCCAGGGAATGTTTGGTGAGGGATCGGGGCAAGCCAGCACACCCCCAAGAAAAGCGCTGGCCGGCATGTGACGTGCTGGGCACAAGCCGCCACGGCTATCTGCCGATCTCTCCGTGGGAACGGGAAGGGGGACAAAGGTCTGGGGAAGAGACACAATCGCCCTGTTGTGCTTCGACACCTGTCAGGAAGCCCGGGCTCAGAGTCCGAGGAAGCCAGGGCGCGCGCTGGCCGCGGCCTGGGAGGGGCCGCCGAGCTCCTTGGCTGCTCACCCTAATTAAAGGACACCCCAAGAAGAACACGTCAGACCACAGTCCCGAAGCAGGTTTCGTTATTACTTGAGCAAGCCCAACAGTTGTTTTGTTTTTTGTTTTGTTTTGTTTTGTTTTGTTTTAACTTGCTCTCCCCCTTCTCGGAGCAGGGGTTAAGGTGCACATTCCACAGGCGTGTCTAATGGCAGCCTGCACCGCACCGCCCAGCTCACCACTCGCACCTCTGCCCCGTGCTTCCCTCGAAGATTCCCAGAACCTGCAAAACCAGTGGAAACCTGTGCGCTTCGTCCAGGTTCAAGCAGGAATCAGAAAACAGCCTCCTGCACAAATTGGTGATGAAATCCCAAATTGTGCTGCGCTGGACAGTTCTCCGTGCTTTCGGGGCATTGGCATCTGCGGCGGGCAGCACCATGTTAGACACCGGACGGCCGCACAGCTCTTCGCGGCGCCGGCTGCAGTGCTGCCGCGTCTGTGGCTCGGAATCAGCCGCAGTGTGAGTGTTTGTTTACACCGTGGAAACTGGCAAAAGGCTCCGATCTGGGACTCTTCTCCTCCCAGAGAGTTATCCATTCTGTTCACTGCAGCTTCGGGGGTGGGGCACCCTCCACGGCGCCTCGATGTGGCCCCTCGAGCACTTGAATCCTTTTCGTGGTGGCGTGGCTTTGCTTCCCCCTCAGGGGAATAAGGAGACCACGCAGGTTGGAAGTCAGACTCTCCTAGCTCTCTGCCAATCACACCAAAGTCACGTACGTCATCCCAGCTCCCCTCCTAAATGCGTTTGTGTCAAATCCCCACCTTTGTTGTCTTCTAGGCCTTCTGTCTAACACCGTCTGAGTCGAGGACAGCTCACCGGGTGCGTGTGCCTGTCAGAGCCCCGAGCCTCGTCCCATGTTGGGGGGAACACCTCGTATGACAAAAATATGAATGAATGGGGCAATGGGTGGAAGAACAGAAATAAGAAATGCTGAGGCAAGACTCAAATAAATGCCCAAGTTTAAGTCCAACAAATTCACCCTTTTGATGTACTACATAATGTATAATGCACTGTAATGGTGCTATCTACAACTTAATTACAGGATTCATAGAAAGTGCACAACAGACAGTGAGATTCAGCGATGGGATTGCACTTTGAATTGTACCCTGAACATTTTCTCCAAGCTTATCAGTGTGTACGCCCTCGCTTGGAGATGAGTTTTATTTGGCTTGAAAATCCCTTTCTATGTGTCGGGCACTGCTCTAACCACTTTATAAGTGATAACTCCTTAACTTTACCTAATCATAAAATATTTTCTTCCTTCCTAAAGGAAACTACACCCATCAGCAGTCACTCCCCCCTTCCCCCTCCCGAGTCCTTGTCAACTACCAGCCATTCTTGGTCTCTGCAGACTCCCCTACCCTGGACATCTCCCATAAATGGAATTACGCAATTCGTGTTTTTCTGTGACTGGGTTAAGCCACTGTGAGTTTCCTCACCCATTTTACAGGTGAGGAAACTGAGAAACAGAGGTCAAGTCCTTTGGCCAAGGTCACATGGCACAGGTGGGATCCACGCGCAGGCCAGGTGGCTCCAGAGCCCTTGACACTGAGGGATGCCAAAGCATGCATCGGAGGCCTTTCGTGGATCCCAGGCGTGGGCCCAAAGGTCGCACGTGCGTCCCTCAGGTGGGAGGCCCTAAGAGGAGCTGCCTTCCAGCGGGGACAGAGGTGGGGACTGGAGAAGAGTGGAGGCCGGGAAACAAATACTACCCTGAAGGCAGTGGCTGCTCAATGACGTACATGTCCCCATCGTGAAAGACGGAATCTCCTCCTGGAATGGAAGCTCGCATCGGCCCCCTCCCTTTGGCCCGCCCAGCAGCTGAATCGCTTCCCTCCTGAGAAAGCCCGTGACCTGAATCTTGAGAGTGGGAAGATGACGGCCACTCTGAAGACTAGGGGTCAGACGAGCCCTCTGGGGCCGGTGACCGGCCTTTCAGGTCTGCACGGGTGCCCGCCAGTGCGTCATCCCCGCACACGGTTCCCAAGGTGGGACCTGGTGACCCGCCCACTGCCCAGCAGCCCCCTCAGTGGCTACTTATGTCCTGAGCCCAGCACCCAGCTCTTCCATGTGGCCGTCCATGGTCTCCAGCCCCTTCCCCGCCCTGCTCAGCCTCTCGAGGACTGGAGGATGCCCACAACCGACGCAGGCACTTCAGGCTCCTGCAAAGACCCTCAGCCGCTCCCAACGGGTGCAGCCAGCTCCTCAGGGGACGCTCCTGAACCCGGCCCTCGGGCGTCCATGGAGCTTCAGCTGCGTGTCAACCACTGTGCTGGGCACTGGAGACGCCGTGGCGGACAGGACAGATGTCGTCCTTGCCCTCTTGGCGCTGGCGCTGTTGGGCACAGAAATTGCACAGCCCGTGACACGACTAATTGTGAATGTGCTGTTGTGGTGGTACAAGGCTGTGAAGTGCGTGTGCGATGCAGCTGATGCAGCCTGGGGACCCAGGAAGTCTTCTTTTGGGGGGGGTGACACGTAAGCAAGGACTCCAAGGACAAATAGGAGGCAGTTTCACAAAGGGACGAGAAGGGCGTGTGGGCTTTAACGTTCGATCGCTGCTGCTGTTTCCGAGTGCAGGCCATCGCTGCCTGGCAGAAGAGTAGTAAGTCTAAGGGGGGCTGGGGGCGGGGGGCAGCCTGGTGAGGGTCATGGGGGTTGGGGATGACGTGGAGGATGGCTGGGTCAGGCCCCGTTGCCTCCCTCCCGTTTCTCCCCTGGGCGTGGGGTGGGGGAGCTTCACTTCCACTTCCGGCTGCAGGGCAAACCCAGGCACTCCACGCAGTGGCGCCTTCCTGCCATGGTCACCTCCTTCCCTCGGCGTGTGTGCCTGTCACAGGAGTTCGGCTCCTGGCCGCTCCACAGGCACCCCACGCAGCTCCCGCCTCAGGACCCCTTGCCGGCTGGGCCCTTGGCCTGGAGCGCATGCCCCGCTCCATCTCTGCTTGCTGGCTCCCTTAGGTCCCAATATCCTCAGAGGGGCCTCGCGGGCCCCCTATCGCTATCCGACTTCCACTGGGTGTCTTCTCCCCTCCGAGCACTTTCCTCTGTGCCTGTGCCCCTCCGTCAGGACGGAAGTCCCAGGAGGGGAGCCCTGCCCGTGGAGCTCCCGGCCACGTCCCTGCCGCTCGAAGGGGCTGGCGCCAGCGGGACCTCCAGCAGCCATGGGTGAGAGGCCGTGGGGTCACGGCGTGCCAGGACCCAGGTGGGCTCAGGCCCGTGTGTCCGGCCAGTGCCCCCCCCCACACACATCCTGCAGCATGCGTCCAGGGCAGGGTACATGCTCTGGTCGCATCTGCTCCTTGCCAATCACTGGACAGTGATTTCAACAGACAGGGAAGGTAGCTGGGGCGGGCTGGGCCGCATTCCAGGCTCGGGAGCAAACAAGACGACGAGGTCCCTGCTCTCGGGGAGCAGCATTCTGGGACAGAGAGAGCCAAGCCTGGCTCAGGGTCCCCACCAGTCACGAGACCCCTGCCCCAAGCTCGTAACACCGAGGCTGGCTCACAGGGTAACCGCCCGTGCCAGTCCCCGCAGGCCAGCTGGGGCAGGCCGGGTGGCGGGTGCCAGGAGGCCTGCCCATGCAGGTGGGAGCTTCACCAGGGTGGGGCTGGCACGTGGGCCCGGGG